CGGGAGAGAATTTGAAAACGAGGTCTGAATACGTCTTTCCTACCTCCGGCTGTATTGACGTTCGATTATTTTTAAAAAACAATTGTTGATTCTTTCTCTGGTATTTATATGTAGACCTACATCTTAAACTCGTATGTACCGCCTCCCCAGAGGAGATAGTCGAGTCGATTTGACCCGGCTTCAGATTTCTACGGGCAGTTGTCGAAAAAATTTCCTGAGGCTCGATTTCTTCAGTTTGATGTCTTATTCTTTTTACGATTCATTTTTAAACCTATATATGAAGCTCATATAAACTGGCTCCATACAACCCACGAGACACTTCTTTTTAGCTAGCTTCGGGTCAATTTGACCCGGTTTAGACATTCAAGGGTTCAGCATCTAAATTTTTAGCTTTCATTGCCCAGTTTCTGGGTATTTTTTTTCTCTTGTCACATTTCGAGTTCCATCTGTAATCAGCCTGTTGCATGTCTATGATGAAACTCCCAAACCACGTATCTCAGTTTGCGACGTTGCTGACTTCCTGTTATACTTTGATTTTTAAGTGGAGAGCTACTAAACTTCTAAAAAAATTTAAGTGATTTTTACTCTCTGGGCGAAGCATATCCAGAGAAAACTCAAAGGAATGATGTTGATTTGTTCTCGTTTAAAAAAATTAAAACAATAGCGGAGATTTTTAAAGATTGCAAACGAGATACGTAGTTTGGTAGTTTCACCGGTATTACATCGGATATTATGCGGATATTATAGTATTATCGATATTATCGGTGATGTTACATCGGATACCAATATAGTTTCCTTCATTACCTCATTGGAAAAAAAGTAGCTTGGATCTACAGCCCAGACTCTTAAAAACATTGACAAAAAAAACCAGGGCCGGACTGGCTAAGGCAGCTAGGCAGCGATCGCTGCCTATGAATTGTCGGCTCAGGGGCCCCTGAGCCGACAATGGACCACTAGACAAGGTGCGAATTTCAGCATTCTGATACATGTTTCTCAACCAAAATTTCACGTGGAACACGATACGCACAACGAAAATTACCAAAATCAACTCCTTCCGAAGATATTTAATGATTCTTGATGCGTGAATTGAAACCACCCGCTCGTGAAAACTCAATACTCTACGTGATTCACATCGCGCTAAACGTTATCATGACAGTCTCTGCGATGTAAAAATCTGGCAGCCTCAATCTTGACGCTTTGGCTCAGCTATAGCAAATTGCTTATAGTTTGAACAACACATGGTGGGAAATGAACATTGCTCGAATGAGAAGCTTGCTGAAACCGTTGTGGTGCGCGATTTGACTCGCGTAGAGCTTTGAGTTTCTTGTGAGCGGGCAGTTCAAATTCCTCGTAACCAATGTGAAATAAAAATGTTAATATCTCCGTTAGAAGTCGGTTTCAGTAATTTTCGTTGCGCGAATCATGTTGTGCGTGAAATTCTGGTTAGAAAACATATGTCAGAATGCTTAAATTCGTACCTTGTCTAGTAGTCCATTCCTGAATTAATTCTTCAATGAATGAAATGAATCCATCAAAAAGTGAAAAATCCTTGAATTTATTCTTCAATAAATGAAATGAATCCTTGAAAAACCCTCGTTGTTTCCAGTCCTCGAGGGTTTAACTCATAACACCTTCTCTGAGGCCCCTACGGCCGGAAAAAGGTAACCTCAGGGCCCCCTGAAAAGATGCCAGCAAGGGCTCCTCAGCGACCGAAAAATATGAGCTTCAAGGGCCCTGGAGCGGCCCTCGAAGCTATATTTTCCCGGCCTCTAAGGGTTTTTTACTTTAAACAGCATGACTCTTTCTCTGAGACCCCTATAGCCCGAAGAAGGTCACTTCTGGGGCCCTTGAAAAGATGTCAGCAGGGGCCCCTGACCCTGGGCTCGAAAAAAA